GGGCCCTGTGGGGGGGGGGGGGGGGGGGGTGTAATTAAAATTGGTGCTCTGCCAGGCATCAACTTAAAATCCTCTGTACATTTCTCTGCAAATCTGTGTTGTGGAGTCCAACGAGACAATAGAACATTCACTTGGGTCTTGAGATCTTAAGTTCCAAGAAGTTCTTCTTGACACCCTTGAACCAGTCCTGGACCACCAGATTCAGCCACTGACGACCCAGAGGCACCTGGAATCCTAATTTCTGCAATCCAGCTTCAACTCATGCCCTTGAGTCCTGACAGAGGCCTGGGAACACTTTCAGGAAGAGTCTGAGTCAAGGACACTCCCATCATTTGTGGATGGTTTTCAACTGGGGCTGGCAGTGCTAGGCTGTCCTGTTCACTTAGTGAAAGGAGAGCCTGGCAGTAATGAGTAATGACACACATTGTATTCAGGGTTCGGGGTCCTTTAAAAGGTGTGCACTTGACCACGCACATCTCCATACCTCGGGGGGTACATCCTCAGCCACTCTGTGCCTGCAGCACCCTCTCTTCCTTCTGAATGTACCTTTAGGGAAAGCGTCACAAAGTAGATTGTCCTGCATGGGGGTATATCAAGATTGTAGCCCTACGTCATAGTTTATTTCACAGAGAACTCGGTTGCCTTTTTCTTCCAAAACATATTACAGTGGCCCATCATAATTATGACTGGTGCAGTTTGGATATTTGTCCCCTCATAACCTCATGTTGAAATTTTATCTCCAGTGTTGGAGGTGGAGGCTGGTGGACATGTCTATTTTGGGGGGCAGGTGCCCAATGAATGACCTGGTCTGATTCTCACAGTAAATGAATGAGTTCTCGCTCTATTAGTTCCCACAAGAGCTGATTATTATCAAATAACATGGTGCCTCCCTTTCTTCTCTTTTGTGTTCTTCCTCTTGCCATGTGATGCCTGGTGTCCTCCCCCTTTCACCATTAGTGGAAGCTTCCTGAGTCCCTCATAAGAAGCTGATGCTGTCACTGTG